ACTAAAGGCAATGTTCTTTCTAAAACAACAATCAGATCACTCCAAAGCCTCCCTTTAAACTTAAAATCAAAATTCAGACTTCTAACAGCAGTATCAAAGTTGACATGATATAGTTTTAAACTTCACCTTCCTTCATGGGAAACCTTCATCAAGAAGATAAATGTTAAACTAGCACATGTAGACTAGGCAACCCCATGTTGACAGATCACCAGCATCACAAAGAAGCAGACAAACCCACTGAAGGCCCTGTGAGACCATGCTTTCCTGGTGATGGTACTGAAAGACCCCCAAGAGGGAAGACCCTCCCTCCAGTCTCAGGAGATCATGGCCACCCAATGACTCACTAGACACCATTCTCAATGCAATCAGGAAGAGGTATACATCAGGAAATCAGTAAGCTGAGTTTGAGACTTGTAACCCACACAGGAGCAGAAGCCCTTGACCCACAGCTCAGGGAGAGTGGGGTATTTAGAGGAAAAAACCACAAACCAAGGGGAGTGAGGGGGGCACTGGAAAGTACCAGAGGAAAGTCCCAGCCCATTATTCAGCATGTGACAGGGTTCAAGGAACAATCACGGGGAAGTACAGGCCCTTTTTCTCAAGAACCCAATCTTTTTTTTTTTTTTTTTTTTAATTGGATGTTTTATTTACATTTCATATGTTGTCCCCTTACCCCATCCCCCACCCACCCAGGAACCCCCAATCCCCTCACACCTCCTCCTTCTTCTTTGTGGATGTAACCTCTATCTACCCCCCCACTCCCACCTCCCCACCCTCAAAACTCCCACCCCCTGGGGCGTCCAGCCTTCATGAGGTCAAGGATCTCATCTTCCACCTGTGCCCAGCAGGGCCCTCCACTCTTATATATTCAGCTAAGGCCCTGGATCCCTCCATAAGTGCTCCCAGGCTGGTGGTTTAGACCCTGGGAGCTGTGGTTGGTTGGTATTGTTGCTCTCCTCATGGGGCCACAAATCCTTTCAGCTCCTTCAGTCTTCACTCTAACTCCTCCATTGAGAACCCCATGATCACTTCAATGGCTAGTTGTGAGCATCTGCCTCTGAATATGTCAGACTCTTGAAGATCTCTGAGGAGACATCCATATCAGGCTCTTATCATCTTATTCAACCGTATCATCCACCTTGTGGTCAGTCAAGTTCCTGGAACACAAAGCCCCAGAACTAGCTGACCCGCTCTCTTGGCTCTATTCTATCTGCTAGTCTGCTAGGGGGAAAAGTTCTAGTAACCCTTCAGTACCAGTGTGCAAGTCTTCAGATGAAGGAGACAGTGTGATATGGTGAATAGCCAAGAAAGCCTTTGATTTCCTTCCGAGTATTTTCTAGGAATCCCCTAACAAAAGGAAAATATAAAGAGAGAGTACCTACTAATTTTATATTGGAAATGTTTGTTGGAAAGTTAAATAATATTGTACTTTTATTTCACTGAACTAAAAATGTTTTCATTAAATAGATATTCCTCAGGACCCACTTGGTTGAAAGAGAACAGCCTACTTCATTTAAAGGAACAATAATACCTGTTATCCCAGACACTCTAACCAACCCCCCATTTTTGGGAGTTACAGTGTCAGTAATTAGGATTCAGTAATACTTCTGTGCTAAAATCATAAACCACCTTAGAAATGGATTCTAGAGTCTTGCTAGTCCTTTTCAGTACATATTATCCACCATGAAGAATTATTTTTCTCCGAATCTAACAGGCTTATCTAACTGCAAATAATTAACACAATTTTTCTGATGATTAGACGATAAAATTATAACAGACTCTGGATTTGACCTTGAAAAATATCTGAAAAGATCAAGGAAGGAAGGAGAGAAAAGGAATAAGGGTGATCAAAGTGGGATCCAACAAATTGGGATGTAGCTGACTCAATCACTGCTTTTCATTCTGTACAAAATCAACTGTGTTCAATGCTACCTATCCTAAGCTCCAAAATACGTAATCTGCCCTCAAAAAACATAGTTACCAAATTATTATTTACTAATAACAGAAGAGTAGGTTTAATTTTGACATTTGAAATAGTAAATTTCTCTAATATTTCTGGATCTAAAGGAACAGAGCAGATAAAATAACATGTAAAGTTAACAAGGGATTTATTAGGTTGGATAACAGTATGTGACCAGCGTAGTACAACAATAGCTGTCTCACAACCAGAAAGCTGAGAATCTAGTAGTTGTTTAGCCCATGAAATTGGATATCTCTGCATTAACAGTATGTCCCTGGGGTCCTGGGTGATTTCTAAAAACTTCGTTGCCCTCAGTCCATGAGCTAATCTTAATGAAGTTGAATTTAATATTGGCCACACCAATAAGATAAACAAAACTGCCAGATGTGAAGGCAAGCAGGCATAAAGCAAAAGCTTCTTCTATTTCCTTTCATGTGAGCTGCCACCAGGTTTGATCCAGATTTAGACTGAGTATGTCTTCTTCAAATTATCTGATTAAGAAAATTTCTTACTCAGCTAGGTGTGGTGGGACAGGTATTTGATCCCAGCACATGGGAAACAGGCAGATATATTTTTGTGAATTGAAGGCCAGCCTGGTCTACATAGTGCGTCCTAGAACAGCCAGAGGACAGGAAGGGAGAGAACTCCTTACTGGGGTACCCGCAAGCTTAGATTAAACTGAACCAAGAATCACCATCACAGAAAGTTTCTTTGAATTTATTAACACCTCATCGATGAAAGGACCTATGCTAGACCTACATCCTCCATCACACAACAGAAAAATAGCCAGAAGACTAAAACTACAATGAATGGGCCCAGAAGGCTAGAGGAGGAGTTTATAAAAGGTAATTGAATCATGAAACTATGTAAGGGCTCCACCTTAGGGCGGGGCTTCCTGTTCTCCTATATAAATCCTTCCGAACTGAAAAATGCATTCAGTTCAGAAGGACACGGTGGTTACCTACTTTGAGCCACAACTGTTATCTAGAGAGTCCAGAATATACAGCATCCCTGAAGCAAGGGGCAGATTTTTCTGCAGGAATTGAGGAGACCAGGGGATCTGGACGTAAGTTGAAATCCTGAGTACACGAATTTATACTTTTTCTAACTTCAAAGATTCTCAAGTGAAAGATCTGGTTATAGTTAATAAGGAGGATGTTACTGTTTTCAGTGTCTTGTTGAAAACAAAATTTAAATCTATTATCACTTTAAATCTAAGATTAACATGTTTTTTTCTATTTATTTTATGTTCCTTGTAAATATGAATTTTAAATGTATGGCCATACCGTGCATTTCTATTTCTAGCATGGTATCCAAACGATGTACATTATTGGATTCCTAGAAGTCTGTGTGTATAAAACCTTCCACAGTAAAGGAAGTTATAGACTTGTATCTCATATGCATGCTTAAAGTTATTTAAAAGAATATTTTATTGGTGTCTCATTTTGCAACACACTTGTCTAGTGATATTGTATATTTAGTCAGCTCCTTCTGGTGGGCTCAGGTCACTAATAGGTTGCCTAGCACATGCTGTTCTTTGTCCCAGCACTAAGAAAGGGAATAAAAAGTAATCAAAACCACTCAGTTTTGCTACTTGGATGATTCAGGCAGGAAGATCCTGAATATGAAGTAATCTTGATGATAATGTTTATTTTGACTCAATTTAAAAATTAAAGGTAAATTTTCTATTTAGATCCACATGATGCTGAAATCAGTTCTCCTTGTAGGGGGCTTTTAAATAACAGGTATTTTTATAGTTTCTGTATTCTTTTACTTAAAAATAACTCACAGCAATCTTCTCAAATATTCAGAAGTTTACTCTTAAGATTTCTCCCTCAAGAGAATGAATCTCTCCCAGGGATGAGCCCGCTTATAGGTTCTCCAACACAGAGCATTTTTACCTGAAACTATTTATACACAAACAACAGACTCAGCAAATTACTTATAAGTTGGATTAGCTAAGTTTCAGAGCACAGCTTTTGAAAAAAATAAAACAAAACAAACTATGGGAATATTCAGTGTTCTGTTGACCTACATTTCAAGGAAATTACACTAGAGACAACAATATTAGTGCAAGAATAGCAGCCCTCAGACTCTTGCTATGTGTTCAAGTTCTAGGCTCCAGTTCCTTTACAGAATCTTTACAGAACAGTTGATGCTTTTAATGAGGCTTATGTCTGTAGAATGAGTGACCAAATAAAATTTCAAATGCATGTTTGAAACCTACTCAAGATGATTCAGCATAAAGCTCTTATAGACGTACAGAGCCCTATAGACTATATAAATCCATCCTTTGTTATAGATTTCACATTCAAACATGGAAATGCCACAGGTGGATGTCTAGGGAGTTTAGTGTCTTGCCTCCTGTTTTCAGCTCATGTGAATGTAAATGATAAACATCTTGGTTCTATTCTTTTCCTTCCAGTCATAATCATTTTCTTCTTTTTATTTTGAGCTTTTATTCCATCCTCAGGGCTACTTTTTTTCTTTTCTTTTCAATTGTTTTTTTCTATTTTCTTTCTTGTCAGCCTGGTGTTTATTATATTTTCTTTTATTTTCTAAGTCTCACTTTGTAACCCTGATAGTGTTAGAATTTGTGACATACACCAGACTGCCCTTGAAATTAGCCTTCGTAGTGCTGAGATTAAAGGTGTGCACCAGCAAAAACAACTTCATTCCTTTATTTTTTAGGCAAGTTCTAGTAAGATTTCAAAAGAAAGTGAAAGACGGTATAACTGCATCATATATAAGCAAACAACTTTTATTTGAAAAGGAGAAATTATCCATTTACACTGTTAATAGTAAATTTATTGTATAAGCAACACATTGTAAAGTGATATTTGTTTTCTTTTCAAAAAGTCTAATAATGAAGTCTAACATTCTTTTAGTTTCACCTCCAAAATACAGATTCACACAAACTGTGGAATTCAGAAGCTATCTACAAAGTGCTCTCTCTCTGTGTGTGTGTCTAATCAGTTCAATCGGCTGTGGACCTGTTTGCACAACTGAGAAATTAGTGGACACAGAAGTTAAGCTAGTAATGGAATCATCTGATAACCAAGCTCCATGGTCTGAAATAGACATTCTGAACTTACTGAAATACATGCAGTATAATATACCATCAGATGACTTCAGAGAATTCAAAATCAGCCAGGCCGACCTAGACTGGAGTAAAGTAGCTTTTGGACGGTTTTCAGGAGAAATGTGCAAACAGAAATGGATGGAGATTTCTTGTAAGTTAAGGAAGTTCCGCACACTGACAGAGTTGGTGCTTGAAGCCAAGGAACTTATGAAAAAAACTCACAAAAATAATCCAGTCAAGAAGCATCCTGACCGACCCAAAAGACCCTTGACTGCCTATCTGCGCTTTTACAAGGAGCAGCGACCCAAATACTGCCAGATGTACCCTAAGTACAGCAATGTGCAGCTGACCAAAATCCTGGCTGACAAATACCGTCAGCTACCAGCAGAGATAAAGCAGAGATATATCCAGGACTTTAAGAAGGAGAAACAAGAGTTTCAGAAAAAGATGACTCACTTCAAGGAAAACCATCGTGTTTCAAGGCATCCTCAGAAGTCTGTGGTGCCCGGAAGTCATCAAACCAAAGTCTCTAAGAAGTCACAAGGAGTTACGAAAAACATAAAGTCTCTTCGTAAAATGGAATTTCACAAAACATTTTCCTCAGAGATGACATTTCATGGAGAACCCAGGAAACCCCCTATGAATGCATATCACAAATTTCACCAAGATTCATGGTCAAGTCCAGAACTGAGGCATCTGTCCTTTAGGGAACGCTTCATTAAGATTAGCAGGCTTTGGCATCAAGTCCCAGAAGACATGAAGGAGCAGTATACCAGACAGGCTGTGGAGCTACAGAAACAATACTGGGTGGAGCTGGACCTCTGGCTCAAGACATTGTCTTCCGAGGAATATGCTGCATATCAAGAGGCCAAGGCCATCCGTAGTAAGCGAAAGAACATGAGCATGTCTGGAGGCAGAAGCCACAAGTTTAGACGAACAGATGATCTTCAGTCCTCCTCAGAAGAAGAGCTTCAAGTGAACCCGGGAGAGGGAGAGGAGCTGCTGGACCCTGGAACAGATTCCCCATACACTAACCAAAGTAATCATGGTGGCTCCCAGGCATGGTGGCATCTGACAGATGATAGCGAAGAGGAAGACTCTAGCACCTCTTCAGATTCTAGCAGTACAGATGAAGATGATGAAAATCTTCCTCTTGGGGAACCCACAAGTTTAGACTCTGTTTAATCCACTTTCACATTGTAAATCGTTGTTTACAACCATCCAAGCAAACCCCAGAATATTCTAGACAGACAGGGAACTGTCCTCTCTGTTTTTGTACTCCCTTGCTTTTCTCTCCTACACTCTTTACTTTCTATATACAAAAGAGTATAGTCTGGAGAGGAGGGAGGTTGCCATAGTACTGCCTACATCAGCTTCCTAGGCTTAGGAAGAGACCCGACTGAATAGCATGTACCATCTATTTACGTTTTTTGAACTAAGTATAATGTCAGTATTACAAATTAAGCACTGCATATACAACTGGTATAATTTAGTTTTAGGAAGGTCTCTTATTTGCTGTTGCGAAAGAAAATCTCACCTCTGATATTCAGAATAAGTAGAAACACAAACACGTAGATATAAATAAGTCCTAGTTCATGACCTTATCTGATTTGCTTTCAATTCAACTTCAATACCACAGTCCTGCAATTAGATTGATTAGTGGAATATTAAGTATATTGAATGTTATCTTCTCACCATTTTGCTTGTAAATATTCTAAGCTGTTTTCATGAGTATTAGCTATATAGCTGTTGTTGTAAACTTTTTGAGATTTTATATTTGTACCTAAATATTCACTTTGGTTGTTTTAGTTCACATATAAGTTTTAAAATTTGTACATATTAATAGAGCATTATGATGGTTTGATAGATATTTAAAACGTATAATGTATAAATCAGGTAAAATTTGTGCATCACTTAATATATTTTTCATTTATTTAAGTTGAAATTTACATTTTAAAACTTACAGTACATTATCACTCTTATTTTAGTGCATCATTATGCCCCAGTCCCATGGGGCGTTGAACTGGGATCAGAAGACCTGGAAGTGACAACTGGAGGACAGGGGCACACAAAGAACGGCAGCCTGTCTGGAAGTCTGATCAGGCTGTAATTTTATTTTTTTTCATACAGACATTAATATACATAGAAGCAGGATGTGGAGAGGGGGATGACGTAGGGTCTTCTTTGTTTCTGGGGAGCATAGGTGTTCCCAGGGGGAGTACAGATGTCTTTCAGAACAGGATATTGAACAGTTCACAGAAGAATCAGGGCAGAACAGGTCACTATGTACCTGTCCATAAGATCTATTATTCATTTATTCTTATCTAAGTTAGTACTTTCCCACTAAAGCTACCTGTCTATAAGATATATTGTTCATTTGTTCTTATCTAGGCTGGTACTATCCCACCAGGGCTACCTGTCTACACGATCTATAGCTATCTGTTCTAGGGTTAGTGCTTTTCTACAAGAGACCAAGACTTTGTGTCAGCAGGCATGAATGGTTGACTTAGGCTTTTAGCTGGCTTAGGCCTATGGCTGACTTAGGCCATTAGTGTATAAGCAAGATTGCTTATACAACATTATTTATTTGTTCTCCCAAGGAAACAATTATCTTCATGAATATTTTGCAACATTTCCTTTTTCTGTACCTCTCTGGTTTACTTAGGTTTCTAAGGATGTTGGAATAAGTATATGTAACAATATCCAGCACTTGGGAGGCACAGAGGCCTGAATTCGAGACCAGCCAGGACTACACAGAGAAACCCTGTCTCAAAAAAACAAAACAAAACAAAAAAGATAGTAGTGATAAATTTGTGTCTTTTTATTAATATTAGCGAAAATTTTCAGGATTTGCTACCATACATTTGTGTTGATATATGATTCTGATTCAAGCTATAGCATCTACTTACAGAATTTAGTTATATAATTTACTTATTTAACAACTTAAATGAATGATGTTTCTTAATTTTGTCCTATCATTAATCATATAATGATGGAATTTCTCTGTAGTGTACTCTAGAGATACACAGAGATTAAAAAGTCGATGGGTACATGCTGAGAACTGTAATTATGGAGGTTGAGAGACTTCTCTATCTATTTACTAGTGAGAGTTGGTAGTTGAGTGTAGTTTGAATCTAAAGGCCTGGGAATGAGATTGTGGAATAAATTCCAGCCTAAAGTCAAATAAAATAAAATGTCCATGCTGTATTCTGGGTGTCTATCAGCTGCCAGCCTCGGATGGACCCTGCCATCCTTGAGTCACACTAACAATAGCTTTTATATCCAATGTATACTAAGAGTTTCTAGGCTTCTTTCCAGAATTTGGAAGCTTGGCTAGGTGAGGTCTTACCTTGAGCTCATCCTTCCCTTTATTCCAGTGCAAAAACAGGCTATTTTTTTTTTTTTTTTTTTTTTACTATTGAGAGTAGGTTTATTTCCCCTCACATACTCTATTGTGAATGTGGTTTCCTCTCTCTCTACTCCTTCCAGTTCCTACCCAGATCCACTCCCATCCAGATCTACTCCCTTTGTTTATGATTAGAAAACAAGCTTCTGAGGGACAATGACAAAATACCATAAAATAAAACAAAAACTATCACATTGGATTTGGACAAGGCAAACAAAGGAGATCAAGAGAAGACACAAAAATCAGAGACTCACTTGTGACCACACTCAAAAATCTCATAAAAACACTAAAGTGGAAATCACAACATGCCTGCAGAAGACACATGCAGACCCATGTAGGTCCTGTGCATGCTGTCACAGTCTCTGTTAGTTCAGGTAAACTTTGAGTATGTTGATTTAGAGGGACTTGTTTTCTTGGTGTCCTCTACCCACCCACTCTTGTTCCCATACTCCTTCTGCTTCCTCTTCTGTTCTGCTCCCTGAGCTCTCAGGGGAGGGATTTGAGAGAGACATCCAATTTAGGGTTGAATTTTCCAAGGAGACAACCTTTTCTTAATGATGATAATTTCCTTAACAAATACAACTTCTTTTCTAGCACATGCCTTATCTGTGTCATTAAATTTCCTTGTACTCCCAACCAAAGAATACACATGGACAGATCCATGGCTCCAGCTGCATAAATAGCAGAGGATTGTTTTATCTGGCATCATGGGAGGGAAGGCACTTGGTCCTGTGTAGGGTTGATGCCCTACCATAGGGAATTGCTAGGGCAGTGAGGCAGGAGTGGGTGTGTGGGTGGTTGAATACCATCATAGAATCAGGTGTAGGGAGGGATGGGATAGGGGGTTTTTGTAGGGGAAACTGTGATGGGAATAACAATTGAAATAGAAATAAATAAAATAATCAAATAAAAAATTAGAAAAATTTCCTGGTGCTCTTATTTTTCCCTAGTACATGATTTATTTCTTTTTGTATTGCCATACTTTCTCCTTTTTACTGTAGAGTGGTATAAGTATTATCAATAATAACCACACCACAGACTCAACATCCTAGAATCTTTTTGTTTGATTTTGAGGCAAGTTTTCTGCATTTCACAGCCCTGGCTATCCTTGAACCTGCTATATAGGTCTGGCTTACCTTGAGCATAGAGATTCACCTGCTTTTGCCTCCCAAATGATAGGATTAACATAGTGTTTATCACCGTTCTTGGCATCATTATGTAGTCTTGACACTTTGTGTGCCTATAGAAATTAGTTCATTACTTTTACATTTCACTGCAGGCAAATTGTTAGACCAAGAGCAGAAGGCAGCTAGATTCTCTTTGAAAACATGAGAACTCTCCCCAGTCCGGTTATGAATATTGCTTACTATTGAAATCTACCTCTGGAGGTACAACTCCAAAGTTCCCTTGTGTTTAGCACTACAGTCTTCTAGGCTCTACTAGAACAGCATGCCAGGCTTTGCTGACAGTGTTCCACCAATTTCCTAGTCCAAAATTTCAAAGTCTTGCATAATCCTTGGTGGGCAGGGGGAGAGAACCACAACAACAACCACATAAAAAACAACAACAACAAAAGCACCACTGTGGAAGAAGTTTTCTGCCCAATATATTTGCATCAGGAGCCCTGTCACTGAACCAGGAAGAGGGAGGAAGAGCTAGGAGTTGGGGGGAGAAGAAGGAGGAAGAAGCAAGATGTTGGAAGATGTATACCCAGATGTCTCTAGCAGACACAGGTCAAAAGGTTAGATAATTGGGATAAAAATTCTAATTATGTGGGCATCATGTATATTAAGTATTTGCTGACATATAAATACATTGGTTAACTTTAAGCATCTAGAGTTTTGATTTACTTGGTTGTTGGGTGGGGTGGCAGTTGACTGTGAGGTGGACTACCATCGTGTGGGGCTAGTGTGGCCCCACCAGAGAGCCTGTTGAGATGTGAACACCTAGCTGGGCCAAGGTAGCCTGCCTGTAGTGCTCAATTCTGTCAACATGATGCCAGAACCTGGAGCTGGCGGTCAACTTTGCCCCAGGGGTGCCGTTATTAGTGCGGGAACTTAGAGCTGGCAGCCAGGCAACTTCTGACTTATCTAATACCTGCTGCAACAGACCACCACCACAAACGAAAACAACAACTTGGTCTCTGGTACTAATTTCTGTATTAGGTACTTTTCTGTTTCTATGATAAAATACCATGACAAAGGAAAGGTATAGAAGGGCAGATGGGAATGATTCTGTACATCAGATGTCCTATTTTAGGAAGCTGGAATGAGCTACTTCTTAACATGTATAGGTTTGTTATATTTTCACATATTTTTTTACTCATACTTACTTGTCGTTTTCTCCCTGGTGATCTATTAAGCATAACCTTCTACACCTTGTGGCTGTGGTTCAATGATTGTACAGTATCTTTGCATATAGTTGTTCCTGACAAAATTTCAGGGCAAGAAATATACTGGATCCTTATAGCTTCTTGCATGCTCATTGGGTGATTAACCTAAACTGCTAAAAATTCACATTCTAGGCTCTTGAGACATATTTCATGAAATGAACTCTGTTATGTGCACCACAGTGACAACTGCACAGGGGTTTGATTAGTGTGTAAGAATGGGGCCGACAACAGTGGATTTCATCACATTCCTATCATTATTTGGCTCCCTTGCACTGTTTAAACAAATGGAGGCTGTGGCTACTAAAACTATTACAGTGGATAATGAAAATGCCATGCACATAGTTTCCAAATAGAGCATATCAAAATCTACCTGAACCTGGGAAGCCT